TGATTTTGGAGCCCCAAAAAATAAAGTCTGTCACTGTTTCCATTGTTTCCCCGTCTATTTGTCATGAAGTGATGGGACTGGATGCCATGATCTTAGTTTTCTGAATGTTGAGCTTTAAGCCAATTTTTTCACTCTCCTCTTTCACTTTCATCAAGAGGCTCTTGTGATTGTTAAGGTATCTTCAAAATGGCATTTTAACCTGCCCCAAGAAGTATATGAATAAACAGAACTTGCTAAAGATCTATACCAGTCAGTCAGTCTACTCTTCTTTTCCATATAGCCTGCAGTCCAAATTTCAAAAACCTTTCCTCTCAATCCAAATGTGTGGAGTTCTAGAATAAAACTAAAATGAGGAAAACACAATTCAACCTGGTGAAGAAATATTGTCAATTCTATGTGCTCTGAAGAGAATTCTGACTTCCAGGGATGTATTAATAATGTGTGTGTGTTAGTTGCTCTGTCATGTCTGACTCTTTGCGACCCCATGGACTGTAGCCTGAGGACTGTAGCCTTCTCTGTCCTTGGGATTCTCCAGTGGGTTGCCATTTCCTCCTCCAGGGGATCTTCCCGACTGGGATCAAATCCGGGTCTTCTGTATTGTAGGAAGAGTCTTTAACATCTGAGCTACCAAAAGCCAATATTAATAATAGAGGCATCTAAAATGGCATTTGATGGAGAGTGATTCAAAACCAGGTTGGAGAGTTGAAGAGGGAGGTCCAAGAAATGTGTCTGGGCAAGGGAGGGCTGGGCTGTGGGACGCTCCTGAGTGTCATTCGCAGGCCTTGGCCTGCCGCCTCCCCACTGGGTATGAGTGTGCGCATGCGTGGGGTGATGCCTGCTGGAAGGCATCTGAAAGCCCAGTGATCCCAAGGTGATAAAGTCAACAGGTCAGGCTGCCAAAATTTGCTGCCTGAAACGGACTGACTTTTCACCACACACACGAGGATACCATTCCTGTTCAAATATTTGTTTGAGCTTGTATTCCAGAAAGACCTTCCTCTATTAGGTTTATGCACTTCCCCATTCCTTTCTCTCTCTTTTGAAGGTTAGATGAGGATTTCCTTGTCATTTGCTCTAAAGGACTGGGGTTTTCTTCCTTGAAATTGTAGCTGGAGCCTGAATACGGTGAATTCAGAGACACACAAATTAAATGTAAAAGTTTAAGTCATGAAACAAACCCATATCATACAGTCATTTCCTCAGCTCACCATTCTGCAAACTTTTTTGTAAACTTACCAGTTTTTAAAAAGCAGTAATAAAATACCCAATCAGATTTTGTATCATTGAAATCTTTCTCAACTGTAGGAACATTTGCAATGACCTTTATTTTTTTCCCCTTAAGATTAAATTCTTTAAAAACAAATTCACTTTTAATATGAATGTTATGATTCACAGCACAAAAAAGCTACAGGCACGTTATAGTTGTGGAAATTATTCAAGAATGAACTATTCTTAGAAACATAGAAATGATGCAAACTTGAGCTTTTAGAAAATCTGTAATGGCGTGAAGTAAGCCAGAAAGATAAAGACCAATACAGTATAGTAATGCATATATATGGAATTTAAAAAGATGGTAATGATAACCCTATATGCAAAACAGAAAAAGAGACACAGATGTACAGAACAGACTTTTGTACTCTGGGAGAAGGTGAGGGTGGGATGTTCTAAGAGAATAGCATCGAAACAGGTATACTATCAGGGGTGAAACAGATCACCAGCCCAGGTTGGAAGCATGAGACATGTGCTCAGGGCTGGTCCACTGGGAAGACCCAGAGGGATGGGATGTGTAGGGAGGCGGGAGGGGGGATCGGGATGGGGAACACATGTAAATCCATGGCTGATTCATGTCAATGTATGGCAAAAACCACTACAATATTGTAAAGTAATTAGCCTCCAACTAATAAAAATAAACGGGAAAAAAGAAAAAAAGAAAAAGACAAAAAAAGAAAATCTGTACCGGCACTTTGGCAGGGATCTCTACTGGATTCTACTGACCAAAGAGGATAAATAAAGGTCATATTTCTACACAGTTCATTAGAATTTACCTTTAATTTTATAGCAAACTATAAACTTGTTTGCTATAAAAACTAGGTGTGTAGTGGCTACCAGATAACAGGGACTCTCTCATAAACACTGGTCATTTAATCCTTAGAGTAGATCTATAAGGAAGGTATTATTATTCTCAGTTTATAAATGGAAATACTGAGGTTGAATGATTTGTCAGAGTTGCACTGCCATGAAAGTTTCAGAGGATGTAAAATCAGGTTTTCTAACTCTAAATTTGGAATTCTTTTCACTACTTAACACCTCTTAAGCTTGAATATTAAGTATTCAGTGGTTGTTTTTGAAATGAGAATTAACTTAAATTTGTTCTTTCTCATATTCCACTCCAAATAAAAGTGTTAAGGACCAAATTGAAATATAAAGTATGTATTTTCCTTCTGAAAGGAGTCTGCCCCAAATCTTTTTTTAAAAATAAAGATGCACATGCATAAAAAACATAGAAACAAAAACTGAAAAAAAAGTTTAAAAGTTTGTGAATTGTCTCAAAACAAAATGGAACTGCACATTATCTGTGAATCATTAGAATGCTAGTGGAGGTTCCCAGAATGATATCATGAATGAAATATCATGTTAAAGCTTTACCAAGAATCCTAATTCAAAGAACTTTGGAGAGACCTTGTCGCTTTAGTTTTAACATGTGAAATAAATATGCCAGTGCAATAAATGCTGACCAAAACATGCTGGTTTTGCAGCTATAGTTTGCTATATAATTAAAGGTAAATTCTATTGAACTCTGCAAAAATGTGACCTCATAGCTAGATAAGTAATGATACCCTCAACTGTAAAACAGCCCTCAACAAGAGCTCAAACTTAAAAGTCTGATATTTTATTCTTTTTTTCTATATGTTTATTTTTTTTAAATGTCTTAAAGACTATTAGAGGAAGTAAATTAATATCCTTAAATATTCATTAGCTCAAAGCAGTGGTCATTTATATTCCACTAATGTGTTTGGTTTGCTTCAAATAATACAAATAAAAAGCAGAATGTTCTGCCCTGTCAACCACAGTAGTTTGTGTGTTGTCTGTAGGCGTATGTAAATACACATGCAAAGGGCAATTGAGAATAATTGATAACTTTTTAGAATATGAGTCAAGGTAGATTAGCTGGGTTTATGGGGAAAATATGTCCAGGAAAAAAATGTCATTATGGGTAGTGACAAAGCAAAATGTGGTGCTAGTGCTGTGACATTTCAAACATACATTTCAGAAGGTAGTTGAACCTGTTAAACCAAGACTCAAGTGTAACTAATATAGTTTTTGATGAGATTGATTTCTCAGCTGTCTTGTTGCCCTAGGTCTTTACTCCTCCCACAGATTTCACAGTTTGTGCTTATCAGGTTTAGTCATTTATCTAGTGAAGTAGTTATCATATTCCACTATTCCATGGCTAATCATGGCATAAGCAGTTAGCGCTTTTCATCTTCAAAGCTCTTAATAGCAGTTAATTAATATAAACAACCCCCTTAGAAGATAAATTAATCACACTGTAACAGTTTCCTTTTCACCAATTGAGAAGCTGAGGTATAGAGACCAAGTAATTGGCCCAAAGTCATTGAGAAAACAATATTTGAAGATGGTGGTGACCCGAGGAGCTCTGAGATTTCAAACTTGAATAAAATGTTTGCTTTTCCATTTGTCTCTTGTATATCTCTTTACCAAGAATCCTAATTCAAAGAACTTTGGAGAGACCTTGTCGCTTTAGTTTTAACATGTGAAATAAATATGCCAGTGCAATAAATGCTGACCAAAACATGCTGGTTTTGCAGCTATAGTTTGCTATATAATTAAAGGTAAATTCTATTGAACTCTGCAAAAATGTGACCTCATAGCTAGATAAGTAATGATACCCTCAACTGTAAAACAGCCCTCAACAAGAGCTCAAACTTAAAAGTCTGATATTTTATTCTTTTTTTCTATATGTTTATTTTTTTTAAATGTCTTAAAGACTATTAGAGGAAGTAAATTAATATCCTTAAATATTCATTAGCTCAAAGCAGTGGTCATTTATATTCCACTAATGTGTTTGGTTTGCTTCAAATAATACAAATAAAAAGCAGAATGTTCTGCCCTGTCAACCACAGTAGTTTGTGTGTTGTCTGTAGGCGTATGTAAATACACATGCAAAGGGCAATTGAGAATAATTGATAACTTTTTAGAATATGAGTCAAGGTAGATTAGCTGGGTTTATGGGGAAAATATGTCCAGGAAAAAAATGTCATTATGGGTAGTGACAAAGCAAAATGTGGTGCTAGTGCTGTGACATTTCAAACATACATTTCAGAAGGTAGTTGAACCTGTTAAACCAAGACTCAAGTGTAACTAATATAGTTTTTGATGAGATTGATTTCTCAGCTGTCTTGTTGCCCTAGGTCTTTACTCCTCCCACAGATTTCACAGTTTGTGCTTATCAGGTTTAGTCATTTATCTAGTGAAGTAGTTATCATATTCCACTATTCCATGGCTAATCATGGCATAAGCAGTTAGCGCTTTTCATCTTCAAAGCTCTTAATAGCAGTTAATTAATATAAACAACCCCCTTAGAAGATAAATTAATCACACTGTAACAGTTTCCTTTTCACCAATTGAGAAGCTGAGGTATAGAGACCAAGTAATTGGCCCAAAGTCATTGAGAAAACAATATTTGAAGATGGTGGTGACCCGAGGAGCTCTGAGATTTCAAACTTGAATAAAATGTTTGCTTTTCCATTTGTCTCTTGTATATCCTGGGCTAGTGGTAAAGAACCTGCCTGCCAATGCAGAAGAAGTAAGAGATATGGTTTTGATCCATGAGTCAGGAAGATCCCCTGGAGGAGGAAATGGCAACCCACTCCAGTATTCTTGCCTGGAAAATCCTATGGACAGAGGAGCCTGGCAGGCCACAGTCCCTGGGATTGCAAAGAGCTGAACATGACTGAATGACTAACACTACTACTTGTATATCATATGTAAAACCATTTAACCAATAGCCCAGTGGGAAATATGCTTGTTCTGCTGCCTACACTAAGAGCACCAGCATGATTCTCCATGGTTTTAAAGAAGCTAAAAGTATTTTATCACCCCCAAATTTCAGTCTTCAGGTAGCATGCTACCTTCTGTTACCTGATTCTATCAAATAAGTCCACAGATCTCTGTGTTGTTGTTGTTGTTGTTTATTTGCTAAGTCTTCTCAGACTCTTTGCAATCCCATGGACAGTGTTCCACCAGTTTCCTCTGTCCATGGGATTCTCCAGGCAAAATTACTGTAGTAGGTTGCCATTTCCTTCTCCAGGGGATCTTCCAGACCCAGACCTCAAATGCATTTCCTGCATTGGCAAGTGGATTCTTCACCAATGAGCCACCAGGGAAGCCAGATCTATATGGTGATGAGTGTTTGGTCTCAGAAATCAAATGAAAATGAATGTCAAACCTATTGATCATTTGCCCACACCACCAAATGTCTGAAATTGAATGGACTTTAGGCTTACTTACCCGAACCCATAGATGTACTGACATTGTTTAGAGTTTGGATCAAATCACATTGGATAATTTTCAATAAACAACATGTAACCAATTCAGTATGTTTAATGTGTAATTTTATGGCACATCATGGGTTTAGTACCCAAGCTGTCACATTTCTCAGTGTACACTGACTCACAAAATGAATTCATTGCTTTTAGTTTCTTCTTCTGATAAAAATCTTAAAGTATCCCAAGCTGTTCTTTTTTTAAAATCATTATTGAAGTACCTACAATATCCTGTTAATTTCTGTTGTAACCCATGCTGTTCTTAAGTATACGTGAAACAAAATCTAGTCAATGGAAGTATATTGGCAAGGTAAAAACTAAATTTGGAGAATTATCAAAAATTACTAGAACTCTTACCCATATTTGTCAGTCTTGATTCTTTCCAGGTGTTGTTTCAACTGGAAATGTGTGAATCCATGCTTGTTATCAGTCAGTTCATTTGTTATCCACAATCACAGTCTTCTTCTCCTTTTGCTTTAGAAAAGTAGTATATAGATAATGGAGATCTTGTTTTAAACAACAACAACAAAAAAATACAATATAGGCTTTTGTCAACACATTTTGTTCTAGAAATAAACATTATATCCAACCTTATTAGCAATTGAAATAAAATTGCTGAGGAAAAAAGGCATGTAAAAAAGTCATCTTAGGGAAACTAGGAGAAGAGTATATGGAAATACTCTACTACTTCTGAATCATGCCCTAAATCTAAAATTATTCCAAAGTAAAAGATTCAAAAGAAAAAAGCAATAAAGAATGAGTGTCATAGACTGAAAAATGACTCTCCAAAAGATATCCACAGCCTAGTCTTTGAAATTTGTGAATATTACTTTTTTTTTTTTTGGCGGGGGGGTGGAGAACCTCTTGGAAGGCAAGAATAAATTTAAGGATATTGAGATGGGGAGAGAGGATATTGAGATGGGGAGAGAGGATATTGAGATGGGGAGATTATTCAGGACTATCTGAATGGTCCCTAGATGCACTCACATGTATCCTTACAAAAAGAAGGCAAAGGAATTTTACAGGCAGAGAGAAAATAAGATAATATGACGATAGAGCAGAGAGATATCTGAAGAAGATGGTCCTGAAGGTCAGAATGATCCGCCTGGTGCCATAGAAACTTGAAGAGGCAAGCAATATTTTTACCCTTAGAATCTCCAGAGGGAGGGCATCCCTGCTGACTCCTTGATTTCTGTCCAATGACACTGATTTTTAACTTCTGGCCTCCAGAATGTGAGAGAATAAATTTCTGTTGTTTTAAACCACCAAGTTTATGGTCATTTGTTATAGCAGCCACAGGAAACTGATGCAATTGTCAGAGCATATAAAAGCATCAATGACAGAAGAAGACATATAAATATCCAATAAGCACATGAGAGATGTTCAATGTTAGTAATAATCTTAAAAACTGTCAATTTTAAAAAGTAGTTACCTTATTTGTTGCCTATCAGATCACGTAAATTAAAGAGACTTAGAATTTTTTTAAAGCCCTGTGTTGCAATTTTCATTGAAGATATTAAGGTCTCCAGTCAATCATCACTGCAGCCTGGCCAAGGGCTTACCATCTAACACATTTCACTTTCTTCAGAAAAATATGGATATATTAAAAATAAAACTCAAGGAATGAGTAAATAATGGACAACTTTAGCAACTCTTTGGTGCTTTATAAAATATCTTTTATTAAGTAAAATTTCAAATATATGCAAATGTGAAAAGGACTCATGATCAATCTTGTTTCATCTGTATTCTTTTCAATCTCTCACAACCTAGGTTATTTTTTTTCCAAAATCCACACAAATCATATTTTAGTATGTATCTTGGCCCATAGAGATTCATGCCTATAGATACATATTATATATATATATAATGTGTATCTATTTATGAAGCACATATATAACCATAAGTATTCATATATTTTATATATGTGCATATATCTATTTATCTATTCTGCTTGGTGCTTTTAATGGAAATCTCTTTTTCAAGAATTAATAATTTTATACAAGGAAGTTTTGAGAAACAAAAGCAAGAGATAAGACTTTCCTGTGAGGGTCAAAAGGAGTCTAATGCTCTTCCATTATATGGTAAAGAGACTCATATGTCTGTTGAGGTGGTGGGAAAGTGTGTGTGTGTGTCCTATGTTGTTCCTATTGGATCCCAATCTATCAACACTCTTTCCTTATCTTCAAGCTCTCTCCCACCTCTTTGCTATTCTTATAAACACATTTAGGACACTGCCAAAACACCCACCTCATCTAATTCCACAGTTTCTCTAGCCATCAGCCCATCCTCACTCAACCCAAGTTCTTGAAAGAAAAGTCCACATTTGTCTTCATCTTTTCAATTCCCATTTACTTTGCAACTCAAAGCAAGTGGAGCAAAAATGTTTATCTAAAACCACTCTCACTGATGAGCATTCATCAAGTGAAGCGATCATGATGGTAAGCAAAACAGACATGGCCTGCCCTCACAGTTCTGAGACCGTAAGTCTGGATCTCCTGGGTGGATATGGGGGGAAGAGAGTGAAAGACTCAGCACTGCTGCCCATCACTGTCTCCTTTCATTCACTCAGCTCTGTTCCTACAAGGACAGGTGAGCCATGGCTTGAATGAGGTTGAAAAACATGGGCCTTGTCCACTGTTTTTCCTGAAATGAAACCTCTGACAGGTCATTGAGATAATAACTGAAAATGGCTATTTTTTTTCAGATCTCTTAATGACTGATATGGAAGGATCACTTAGGACTCTGGGGGTTCCTATGCTTCCCAGAACTATTCATGTCATGTTTATTCATGTTGCAAGCACAGACAGAGCCAGGTTTCCTAACAAGTCATTCAAATGTTCAGGAAGGACTGATTTCTTAGCATGTCTGAGTCTTCAAGCTCTAAGAAGAGTGAGTAAAAGCATAAATGAAATAAAACTAAAAAAAGACTCTAGCGGGAATGTTTGAATTTTTGACTTAAACAAAAATAAACTGGAAATGTCTAGGCCATTTCCAAAAAGAAAGTTTAAGATAATTAGGGGAATGGATTAGTTGACAGAAAAGCAATGCTGAGGAATTAGATGATAATGTTACATATTAAAATCAATGTTTTTCCCAGCCAGGGAGAGATTCTTTATTGTGAATGAAAAAAAATAGATCAAAAGTTGAATCCTTGAATGTTGACTTTTTTTAAACAAGCTTATGAGTGTTTGAAACTAGTCAATAATGGCAAAGTAAGAAAATGTCTTCATAGATAAAGATCAATCAGAGAAACATAATATAAAATATTACCATGACCATGGTAATATAAATATAAACATTGATCACGCCTGTGCACTGAGAAAACACCAGTCTTAGAGTCAAAAAATGCTGTTAGAGAATTATATGAACTGTATTTTGATACTTAAAAGCAAGGCTATTACTTTAACTGTTGTGTTTCAGAAGTTCATATGAGTAAAAGTCTGAGGAGCTAGGGGTGGGTCCTATCTGCACACAGTTGGATTGGCTTAGAGGCCACGTGATTTGACTGAAAGAGCAATGCAAGGAGAATCAAAGGTGCTTGCCCTGCCTTTGGTCCTCATTCATCACCTTAGCGAGCTTGGGGAGGTGGCTTGAGTGCTTCGAACATCAATTTTACCATCTCTACAGTAAAAACATATGAAAATATGTGGGTTTTTTTCCATCAAAAATTAAACAAGATGAAAGAACTTTAAGAAGACACAGCATTGGAAGACACAGGAGGCTCTTTTAAAACACACTTAGAGAAACTTTTGTGAGCTATCACCAGTGACTGTGTCCCTAGGGTGAGCAAGCAATTACCAAGCTGGATAGAACCGCAGACCCAACTTCTCTTAGTAGCCCCATTATTTATTTCATCATTGTCCTTTTCTGCACTGATTTGACTGAGCAGGCCTTTCTGGGAACTCTGATTTTCAAGCCAGAAAGAACAAACTGAGTACTATTATTGGTCCTTTTATATCAAGATTTAGCAATCAGCAAATTAATAATGTCTCGAAGATTAGCATCGGTTTGAAAGGCAAAATTCACACAAAACAATTAATTAAGAGCATTAAAACAAATGCATTGCTGAGGGTGGAATTGGATCCAGGAGACAAAATGGGTTAAAAAAATTTTTCTTAAAGGAATGCTCTAATTGAAAACTGGCAGCGACAGAAGACACAGTATAGTTAAAACAGTATCTTATCAGAAAATTAGCAAAATGTAATTTTTATTGGATTTTACAGATGTTATTTTTAACCACATCAAAAATCCCACCTCATGGCTAGCTATTGGTACAAATTGTCATAATTACTATAATTTGAAGTCTGAGCGATGGAATGGCTGAGATAGTTATCTCAACCCCAGACTAAGTCTGTATTAGTTGAGCAGCCAGGAGAAGGAGCTCATGTTTTTATACTTGGTCTGGACTTCATTTGTGTCCTTTATCCAATCTCATTCTTAGGAATATTGAAGAATAATTTTTTTTTTCCTACCTGAAACAGTGGAGAAAATCAGGAGGTTAATATTAAGAGTGCTGAGGTCACCTTTAATTAACATACCAATCACCTCATTTCCAATCTGCAAGTAAAGTGTTGTATTTTATTCTATTTTTACATTTCCTGGTGAACTCAATCATATTTAATGCATATCCTAAATTCTGGGCATAATATATTCAACTACCTATATAAGCACGGCTGATAATGCTGAACTAAGAAAAAAAGGAGCTTTCATATCCCTCCTGATATCCAAGTTAAAATATTTCCTTGCTACTCAGGGAGTAAAACTATGACAAAACATGTCTAAAATATGTCTAAGCTATAAATCAGAAAGAGAGATCAAAAAATGCCTTAGAGGAAGTTCTGTAGATAACTTTTATCCACAGATTCACAGTGATATCAAATAATGAAAACAATTATTACTGGGTCATACTTTAGCTTTGGGGTTAGATTGGCAGAGAGCCCAGTTCAGAGACAGTAGAAAGACTCAGTCAGTATGAGGAAAGGAGTCTCCAAAAGAGAATAAAGCTCATCAGACATAAGGAAGCACTTTCCAACAACAGAAGAATGGATAACGTGCAGTTTTAGTGATCTAAAGCTGAGCCATCTGACTGTCATTTTAGGTCATGGAAAATTTTCACCATGGTTTCTTTCAAACTCTCAACCTTTGCTTAACTGAAGGATCAAATGAAGAAGGGGTCTAGATTAAATTTATTCATTCAACAGATACTGTGTGCTGGTGCTCTTCTAGGCACTGGAGAACAGTAGTGAACAGAAGTGGTGCGTCCAGTAGAAGAACACAGACAGGAAGAATGCAGATAACAAACACGTCAAAAATAATTCAGTAATACTATAATGTCAGGTACTATGTACACTTTGAAGAAAAATCACACAGAGTAAAGAAATAGGAGCTGATGAAAAGGTGGCTGTTTGGATGTGAGCTGAAACTGAAGTCACTCAGTCGTGTCAGACTCTTTGTGACCCCATGGACTGTAGCCCCCCCAGGCTCCTCGGTCCATAGGATTTTCCAGGCATGAATACTGGAGTGGGTTGCCATTTCCTTCTCTAGGGGATCTTCCCAACCCAGGGATCAAACCCGGGTCTCCCGCATTGTAGACAGACGCTTTACCATCTGAGCTACCTGTGAATGCCCCTCAATTAAGATGGCATGTGGGCAGAGACCTGAAAGAAGTGATGGAGCAATTCAGGTGGATATGTGGGATATCTCATTCCAGACAGAAATAGCATCAATCAAAGACTCGAAGTTAGGAACATTCTAGGACAGAGTGGAAGGAGATAAGGTGGGAAAAGAAGGCAGACTACATCATGCAGGCCTTGTAGACTACGGTAGAAATCTTAGATTTTGTTCTAAGTATGACTAGGAGCCCTTAGTGGGTAGGGATAGGGAGGTTGAGTAGTAATGTAATGCAATCTGACTAAAGCTACAAAAAAGTGACTCTGCTATTGGGTGGAGGATAGGAGCAAATACCACAAGAAAAGGGATGAGGCTGGTGTAGAACTAGCCAAGAGATAATGGTGGCTTGGACCACTGGTAGTAGTAAAGGGAATGAGAAGTGGTCAGACTCAAGATACATGTTGAATGGGGTATCAACAGGACTGTCAAGGGGTTAGATATAATGGAAGACAGAAAGAGAATATGAAATGACTCTTAGGCTTCTGACTTAGAGAATGAATGAATGTAATGCCACTCACTGGAATGGGGAAGACTTGAAGAAGTATGTGTTTTGGATGTTGGGATGGAAATCAAAAATTAAATTTCAGTCATGCTGAATTTGAGATGCCCATTAGATGTTCAAATGGGGAAGACAAGAAGGTAGTCGGATAATAGATCTGAATCCAAAGGAGAGGTCAGGCCAGAGTTGTAAATTTTTAATTTGGAAGCCACCAACTTATATAAATCCATGAGACTAGGTGCATCTATCCAGAGAAAATATGGAGAGAAAAGAGAATCCAAACCAAGATTTGAAAAGCAGAATTCTTCAAAAGTGAGAAATATTACTTGACCTCTATAAGGCTGTTTCAATACAACAACTCATAGTGAAACAGACTGACTTTGGACAGGTAAGAGGGTAAAATCAGGAGCTTAGAGTAGACCACAATCTAAATTTAATTATTAATAGAATACTCACCTTATTATTGATGTTACTTTTATTTGCTATACAAAGTGAGATATTATATAAGGGATATATGAAGTACAATTTTGAGGCACTTCTCTTTTTCAGTAAATACTGGATAAGTCAGTTCTGATGCATGTGGTCCAAGAATCTTTCTATAAGAAAGGCTTCTCTAATGTGTATCTTGGAAAGGAGCAACAATTAAAGGGAAAAAAAAATATCAGGTTAGTGTATAAGTCCCAAAGGTGAAGGTTAAAACACTAATGAGTTTTTTTTGGCTCAAAGAATAATAGACTACGGGAGTCACCAAGTTTTTAAGGTGATGAACTATAATTGGCATTAAAAAGGAATCTTCATTTTTCACTGCAAATTGTGCAATTAAGAAGAGGCAAAAATAGGAAATATCTGTGTTAGCTTTCAGAAGCATGTTCTAATGTAAGAGTCATGAGAAATTAAAATAAAAATCACTGAGAGTCTTGGAAGAACTTAAAGGAAATGGACAAAGATTTCATCCTAGGATTATTTAAAGCAAAAAAAAAAATTATAGAATCACTTAGTTCATAGAATCTCATACTCCTACAACATTGTATTTTTCCCTTTGCAAAATTGAACTATATTTAGTTTTCCTTTCCAGTTCAATTCAGTTGCTCAGTCGTGTCTGACTCTTTGCGACCCCATGAACCATAGCATGACAGGCCTTCCTGTCCATCACCAACTCCTAGAGTTTACCCAAACTCATGTCCATTGAGTCAGTGATGCCATCCAACCATCTCATCCTCTGTNCCTCTTTCACTTTCATCAAGAGGCTTTTTAGTTCTTCTTCACTTTCTGCCATTAAGGTGGTGTCATCTGCATATCTGAGGTTTTTGATATTTCTCCTGGCAATCTTGATTCCAGCTTGTGCTTCCTTCAGCCCAGTGTTTCTCAAAATTAAATTTTAAGGAATCATTTGACCTGAGAATCAATTAGAGCAACATGTCCATCTTCTAGAAAGTGGTTTTCAGTAAACATTAAACATTCAGAATGAAATTGAGTCTATGGTTTTTCTCTTTTGTTTATCTGTTTGTTTTTTAAGTTAATACTTTCCTGTCAGTAGAGAGAAAAAAGGAAGGGAAGAATTGAACAGGAAAAAAAAAAAAAAACAGTAACGTAACTAGTCGAAAAGATGCCATAATGTGTGTTGGGAGCAGTTGGCTTATGTATTGGGAGAGAAGGATGGTAATAGCTCAGAAAATCAGGCATTTCAAGTTGCTTAAACTAAAAGGAAAAGAGAAGAAAAAAGGGATGGGGACCATTGGAAGTGGCAGAGTTTAGTGCAAGTGACAGCTACTAGCAAAGGAACCAGATAAGGAGTTAAACTGCCCCCACCCATGAAGATGCCTCTTTCATCTGGGTAACCTAGATAAATAGATGACTTAAGTGGCCACTCTTTTCCCTTCCTGTCCCCTATTTCCACTCTTATGCTTTAAACTAACAATAAAGAGTGAACCGTGAAACCCTAGACACCCCACCCTCTGACCATAAACACAGAGCCCCAGAGCTGATATTTCTCTCTCTCTACCCACAACCTGGCTCTGTGACCCTCGGGTATGCCTTGTTCTCTCCAAGATCTGTAAATAATAAACCTTCTTGCTCAAAATTCCCTGATGGATTTTGCTGAAGAACTTCATGCAGTCATAATAAGAATCACGGGGTCAGTCCAGCCACAATATTGACCCATTGTGGAAATGCTTGCAAGGCTCACTACAAGTAATGTGGAATCGGGGAATGACCCCAACATTTCTTGCTGATAGCATCACTATTAATAAACTGAGACAACACAGAGATTAAAATCAGTTAAAGTACCAAGGAGCAAACACCTGATTTGGAAGTCAGCTCAATGAATCCCACAGAATTCTGCAACAGTTCTAGAATCAAATACCAAGAGCCCACCTCCTTCCAGGAGCATATTAAAGTGCACACAAATTCTAGGCAGGTCGGGCATGTAAAAGGAGATGGACAAACACATATTTAGAGAGTTTTAAAACCTCTGTGGCTCATAGTGACAAGTCTAAGTGATCAATCTTTTTATTATTTTTTGGTGAATTTTATTTAAAAAGGTAGGGAAGCATATGGTCCATTTTCGAATAGCTGTTATTACATGGTCAATGAACGAATGTCAGTTGCTCAGTTGTGTCCAACTCTTTGCCATCCCATGGACTATAGCCTGCCAGGCTCCTCTATCCATGGGATTCTCCAGGCAAGAATACTGGAGTGGGTTGCCATTTCTAAAAAGTCAATGTTGAGTTGAGCCCTGGATGCTGAAGAGAAACATTCAGAGTGAAAATGATTTAAAGATTTGAATTTCACCTACTTACAAAGCAATCCACTTTTTGAAACACCTTGCTTCCTCATTATGCTAAGTAACAGACATCGTTCTATAGAAGTCAATTCAAGTGGACATCTGGCAATTTTCATTGTCTTAGTAAAGTTTTGAATTTTGAATCAATTCTGAAGCTCAATCAGGCATCTACAGCAGGCAGATAATCCACTTATTAGGAATGTAAATTTTCATTCAACCTAGGGTAGATGGAGATGCTTTCAGTTAAGGGAAAAGGTACTATAAAAACAGGCTATCGTACTGTGAGTCAGGATTTACAATGAGTCAGGATTCTATTGCATATTATTTAGGCAACAAAAGGTATACTTCATGTTTTCGTATTTCAGTCCCTAACCGAACTAAGATGCAGAGAAATGTAAACTTTTTCAAATTTCAGAGGTATTCTGTCTTTTCTTCTATATTATAATCCTTGCTAGTTATTAGTTAAAGAAGATTGGCTGCCCCATTTTTGCTTCTTCATCTGGTTTATTCGTGCTCAGAAACAAATAAAGTAACACAAAAGCATTTTCCAATAAAATATGACTAATGATTTAGAAAGTGCTACCCGGTGCCTTGTGAACATTTCAAGATACTGTTAGCCTTTTTCTTCATTAAGATATTCCCAAAACAAAACCAAAGGGGAAAAAATGAATTTCACTGCAGAAGCATGAAATATGATAACTAATAAGAACAATTATAATCATTTTCTTTAGAATACAGCAACTATGAATGACACATGTAAATAGCTCCAATATATTCATTTAATATTACTGATAATTAATGTGAGCACTAAATTAGAATTCCTTTATCAGCCAGAGTTGTAAAGCACTGTAACAGCCTAGAGATTACTGGAAAAGCTGACACCTGGGTGAAGAATATATCCAGTCTGCTGATAATGAAGGAGTGTACTGACTTTTAATTCCATAAATAAATAGAACATTTTTAAGCATCAGACTTCATGAAAATTTAGCTGAATTAATTAGTAAACACATGCTGCATGTTTGCCCAAATGCTTTATTCCCTGCAGGAGCTAAATACCTTTCCCTGTTTGCATCTGTGAGAATATTGAATTGTCCTAATTTTGAGCAAGCCCACAAAATGTATTGGGAGTGATCTCAGTAAATTTTAAATAGTTACATAATTCAGTAAAGTGATATGTTCAATACACTTCTTGACCTTTTTCCCAGATACTATCAGAAAAATAAACAAGATCATTTATGGCTAGGAAAAGCAAGTTATCCCACACCTCTCTTGGAAAACCTTTTCTTTTACACTCAAAATAATATGAATACAGAATACCACCAAATGAACTAAAATAAATGACTTTGTGGTATATCTAAAAGATGCAAACATATATACTTTAAGTAATTTAAACTGACAGAATGTCAACATCTGGGCAGTATTACAACATCTGATTTGTAACAGGTTCTCAATAAGTGCTTGCTGAATGAAACAAGCCTATTGGAATTTTTTTTTAAGTAAAACTTGGATAAAGACATAAAATTAATATCACCTATGTTATTATTTGGGGGGGGCAAAATAATGTTCTATAAGTTTGCAATTTTTATATCATGCAAATCCGTATGCTTATTTCTTCTTTCCTCTGACACTTTTAATTCAGGCCATCTTCCCCTCACTTCTCAGTGACTGAAACATGCATAATGGGCTTCCTACCCCATTTCTGCCCAACCAACCCCTCCACTGCCCCACTCCTGCTCCCATTCTTTTTCCATTCTATAAGCTGACCTTTCTAAAACCTTCTGTATCTGCCCCCATCCCCTCAGGATAAAGCCCAAAGCATTCAGAATACTTTACTGTGGGCCCACAGCCAGTCTCTCCAACCTCCTCCATCTCCACAACACAACTTCCGGCACTTAGTGCTCCAGCCATATTCAACTCGGCAGCGTTTCTGCAAGCCATGCTCTCACCCCAGAGCCTTTCACATGCTGTCCCCTCTATGAGAAAGCTTTACTTGCTGCCAACTCTTGGCCTTCTATCCTTTCATCTAGCTTACTCACACTTGTCTTTATGGTTTTTGTCTGGGACATTATCTACTCCAGGTGCCTTCTCTGACAGCCCCTCCTCCTCTCTTAGGACTAGATTCATGTCATATCACCCTACGCTTTCACTTAGATAAGGACTCAAATCTTTTTTTTGTTGTTGTTATTACCTCTTAACAAATTCCTTGAGTTCCCAACACCTAACATGATGCTTGGCACATAGATGTCATTAAATAAATACTCTGTGAATGAATTAGGAAAACCTTCAAAAACTGAGCAATTTTCTTTGATGAAGTTGATCTAGGAATAATTTATATTATAAATGATAATAGTAAAAAAATAAATGTATCAAAAGAGACTTGGATTATCATCGTCCTAGCTCTGTCATTGGCTATAAGTAATTTCTCTGCACCCCAATTTAATTTTCAAAATAGGTATAACACTTACCCCTCCTACTTCTCAGGAGGATAGATCCAAAGGGCTCAGTTAAGTGAAAGCACCTTGGAAAATATAAGGAACTTGTCATGCAAGATATTGATATTACTGTTATTATTAAGTGCCTAAATTGCCACGTTGTCATATTCCTGCTTAAAAGTCCCCAGTACCTCCACACTGTCACCCACTCTTCCACCTTCAACAGTACTTCCTAGAGCATGGCTATGTGAATTGATGATCAGTCTCATGGACATTTCTGTGTCTCAGTTGGGGGTTTTCTGCCTGGCAGACAGTCTGATTTCACTCTAGGGGAAGTTCTCTCTCCAATCTTGGATCTCATCCTTTGGGTAAGGCAGGTTCTGGCCTAGGACCTCAAATAGGAAGCCTAAGTAGGCCAGTGAGCACCCTGCATTCTCCTAGCCAATGGACATGGTCCCTGGGTCTCCTCAAGCCATAACTCAGCCAGTCCAATCAGAGTGAACTTTAGGACTTCCTCAGGGAAGAGTAGAGCATGCTCCTCTGCTGGGTCAACCAGGCAGCAAACTGCCATAGGAGGTGCCAGCAGTCATATGGCAACAATAAGCAAAGTCTGGTAAGATGAAGCCAACATATCCACAGCAAAGAGAGACATGAAAATATCTTGTTCTTGGGGCATTCTCTAGCTGCTGAGTCATGCCTTGCTTGACACTAGCACTACCCAGCAGTAATGATAATCAGGAAGAGGTATTTGGGCATCTTGACAATTAGTGTGACATTTCTGAACTTTTCCTCCCAGAAAAGAGATCTTTAAAAGTTCTCTTCTTCATCACAATAATGCTTTGAAAAATAAATAAAATTTAAATCCATATTCAACTAATGCTTACAGATCAAATTTATGAAAACAAATGTTGATATCTTTGTAAGTGAAGGGTTTTATTCATTCAAAGTATTACTGTAAGTGGAATTATCAGCATTGACTTGATTACTCATCTTCCTTCTTGTTCAGCTGCAGGTCTGCAATGTTGTTGAAATATGAAGCTAATGCATAGAAAAGTGGTTTATTTTCTACAAAATAAGTATCCAAGGGGAAAAATATTAAGTCCATGTGATCTAGGAAAAACTACCCTAAGAGGCACTTATTGTTAAAATTCCAGCCTGACTATCTTATCTAAATCTTTCAAAAATGTTTCTGGCTCTACAGTTTCAGTAAAACCCAGGTTAACACAGGCTTGTCAGAATTGCTTTCTTCAGGAGTAAGCAGTTAGATCAGGAAATAAACCACAAAAATTCCTTAATTGCTATTCATCTAAGTCAGGTCTTATACTTTGGCTGAAAAAAATAAACCAAAGGAAAGAAATGCCTAGCAGTCTTTTTCTGGGTATTTTTTTTTTCCACAGAAGCTAACAAAAACACCTTAACCAGCAAAGGGGTCAAAGAATAGAAAGGAGATATCTCTTCAAACCTTCCTTTCTAGGTAGAATTAGCCATTTAAGCTTTGTCCACATTAGCATTAAGCTAGCAAGGCTGGAGAGTGACTTAATTCATATCACTTTGCCAATTTGTTTACTTAATATTAATCCCATGTGTTTTAGGAATTGGTCTGAACCAAATTGCATTGGAATTGCTCTGAAAAGGCTAAGTCATACCTCAGGAGCATCTTAAACTATTTATTACAATAATTTATTTAGTTTTTAAGGCTTATAATGAGTTGATTTATAATTCTCAATTTATAGGATGTTACTATATCAGTGGATGGTTGAACATGGGCCATCTCTCATGTGTCCTTTTGGTATGAACACTGCTGTTTAATATCCAGTCTTAAACAGGAGAAATCTTTTAGAGAATTTCAAATAAGTAGTTTGTGTGTGATGAGTTCATGGTTCAGACATAGACATCAACAAGGTCAACCAATTAACAAATAGAGACTAGGTACCGCGCCTGCGCGGTGCGAAGAGGCGGCTCCAAGCTGCGCGTCGCCGCCGAGGGCCGGGGTGGCGGCTATGGAGGCCGCGGAGCCGCCGAGGGAGCTGGTGTCCGAGGAGGGCCGGAACCGGAAGGCAGTGCTGTGCTGGCGCTGCGGCTCCCGCGTGCTGCAGCCGGGCACGGCGCTCTTCTCCCGCCGCCAGCTCTTCCTCCCTTCCACGAGGAAGAAGCCGGCGCTGGCCAGCGGCGGTGGTCCGGAGGGTGACCTCTTGCAGGAGCACTGGCTGGTGGAGGACATGTTCACTTTCGAGAATGTGGGCTTCACCAAGGACGTGGGCAACATCAAGTTCCTGGTCTGTGCAGACTGCGAGGTGGGCCCCATCGGCTGGCACTGCCTGGATGACAAGGACAGTTTCTATGTGGCTTTGGACCGGGTTTCCCATGAGTGACGGGGGGACGCGGCTCCCCCCCACTATTAAAGCTTTCCCTGGGGACCGCCCTGTTGCCTGCTCCGCACCGCCGTCCATTGTGAGTGCCACCCGCCCGTCCAGCCCAGGCCCACGCACCGCCTCATGGGCTCCGCGCGGGCGCTGTCTTAGGGCCCCAAGCGTCGCAGCCTCTCCCCCCCTCCGCTCACCTGGCTGGGACACGGTGCTCCTGCAGATCTCCCCTCCCGGCCTCCCCGCGCCGGGCTAACTGTCTCCACTCAGGAGTTAGCCACGGTTCGCCCTGAGGACACGTGACCTGGGGCACTCACGACAGTGCTGACCGCTGAAACCTGCCTTTTGGTCTCCTTCAGGAAAGCGCGCAAGCACCTCAGAGCGACTTGTGTGGCTGACTCTGTCTGCAGTAATTTATTCTCTAAGAGTAAAGCATTTCCAGACTGCAGTATTCCAGCCACTCCTCAGAAATACCTTACTTTGGACACACATCTGAGACCGCCTTGGGGGCCTCTCCTCGGGGCTGATGGAGACTTTATTGTGCAGGCGGACGTGGCCCCTCTTCCCCTCACATCCTGTTGTGGTTTCTCTCTGTGTCAGGTCCTCACTGTCAGCAAGCTGCACATCAGGTGTGCTCTCCTGTCTGTCAGCAGCCAGCCCCAGGAGACCCCGGCCCTGGCTGTGCACCCAGCGTCTCCT